GACAAATACATCCCTGACCTCCAGTCCATTGATTTTGACGCCCCCTTCTAGGAAGATATCAATGCACTCCTGGCCCTCTCCACATTCATTCACGCTGCCCGTATCAACTACCCTTCTACTCAGACATGGCGCTCACTGCCCCCTCCTCCCTCACCCCTTCTACCATCTACTACGCCTACTGGTTTTCCTAGGTTAGCTTTCAGTTAGATTGGTAGCTGGTTTTGTTTTCCTTGCCCAGAGGTCATGTTTTGGTAGTTTAGTTTCCCTAACGATGGAGGATTCAGGGCGGTTTGACCACTGTTTTAGATTTTTAAGTTTTTCTACTTAGTTAGTCATGCATTTGTGTTGTGCATGATGAACAGTTACCTGTTTTGAAAGGTATGGGCCCAGCTAAATGGGATAGTTTTGGAAGTTTTCTTATGTTAGTTGTTTGATTTGAAAGGGTTTTCTTTATGCCATAGCCTAGTTGCTGCATGTGAGTTCTTGTACCCTAAAAAAGAATATATGAGTTAATTAAAAAAAATTTAAAATTGAATACCATTCATAAACAACGACTAACAGCCTACCAGGAAAATAAAAACTTTATCTTTAGACCAGAACATAAGAAAAGATAACAACATTTCTGCCAGTCTCAGCTGAACTGAAAGTACAATCAGGAGGGAGCAGATTAGGCTTTTACTAACTTGAATGATAAGTTTATAATGAAAGTAGGAGAAAATTACAAGGTTATTTTTAATAGTTATGTTTTGGGGAATAATAATATAGAATTGAAAGAAACCATATTATATATAGAATAAGAAAACGCCAAAGTAGAAGATGGATGCTGTATCTGTGATTGCTGAGAGTAATCACTTATGAGTCTCAGAGTGTAAACAACAAAATCAAGAGTGGACTGTTGAATTTTCTAATTTGTTTATGCATATTCTCCTTGATAATATCGTATATTTCTCTACTTAGTATTATTTTTAGACTACAAATATTACTACAGCTGGAGTATATATTATCTATATTTCATTTGATATTTCATGATACGATTAGGGGATTATGCTGTGCTTTTCTTCTCTGGTGTTCAGGTTTATTTCTTATATTTTATGTATTATCATGCATGGTTACTAGTCATTTGATTTATAATTCTGTTCTAATTATCCGTTCACACCACCTCAGATTTATGCATGTGTTATAGAATTTCCTTGGCAGTTCTTTAGGGTCAAACATGTTCACATTTATCTTTTTCCTACTTATGTTATGGTCAAACACATTGATACTTATATTTTCCCTTATATTTCCTCTTAGTTATATGAAGGATCTGCACCTGTATAAATAGGGGTTATCACCCATCTCGCTTAAAAGAATTAAGGATAAGAACTATTACCAATCTACCTTCATACAAAACTCCTCCTTGCTTAGCGTACTTGTAAGATACTCTTTCTACCACATCACATTTTCATACACAGTTATTAAGATAGTACTATACCCACACATTTGAACATGGACAAACTCAACTAAGTTTGCTGATCTGAAAAGAAAAAGAAAAAAAAGGTTGTACAAGTAAAGTACTTAAGAAATCAGGTAAAGGTAATCTAATCTATTACTATAAAATAAGAATTAGGCAAACTATAACGTATTATACCTACTTATAAGTCACCTCCTAGTAATGGATCAGTTTTGGCCTATATGTAAAAACATCAAAACTCTCAACTTCCAACCTAATCTTTTCTTCTTGGACCCAAGATTTCCCATAATAGATGCTATAGACCTAGTCCTTGTACCTGAAAAATATAATGCAAAAATATATAAAGACAAACCTTTGATATCATAAAATTATAATTTATTACTCTGGTATAAATGCTTGTTATTGGAGCTTGTGTTTGAAAAAGTCTTAAGGATCAATAATCAGATGTTAGGCTATAGGTCTCAGGTAGATATAGGAAAAATATTAGATCAAGGCAGCAAGAACTTAAGGCAGGCTATTTTGTTCTATCTTGCCTATTTTTATCAAAAATTTCCCTTCTCATACAGCACACCTACAACTTATAAACTTTTAACAACAAGCTTTCCAAATCTGATTTTTGATAGCTCTCAAGAAAGCTGAGATGGAGAACATAATTCTAAATGCTATGCAGTACAGAATCGATCATCCAGAGCTCTCAATATACAAAATCACTATACATTTTAGTCTTTGCAATACAACCTTGCAAAGCCACCTTTGACATAAGACCACACCAGCCCCAGCAGCTTATAAGCAATAGTAACTGCTTACCAAGATTGAAGAGAGTGTTATTATTGACAGGATCAAAGGCTATGATGATAGAGTGATACCTCTCTGCCAGAGACATGTTTTAAATATAATGTACCAGTTGCAGAAAATGAAAGAAAATACTAATGAGAGGAAATTTGCAATGGAATTAGGTGGTAGTAGGACAATCTTATCTCATACTGGAAGAAAGAACTTGAATCCAAGGATTATGCAGGATGGGAAGCAGTTCTAGGTTACTGTAGTTGAAGCAATCTTGAGAAATGGGAAGTCAATTCTGCCTCTTATTATTCATGCCTCAAATGCCTACTTGATAGGTCATCATAGTAATATTAACTATAAAAAGAATGTGGATGCCTATTTTACAAACTCTAAAACTGGGTATATTACAACTGAGATTATGTTCAACTAGTTGGTTACTATCTTTGAACCAAAAACAAGGCCAGAAAGTGGAATCAAGAAATGTCAAATGCTGGTTTTGAATGGAAACAGCTCTTATGTCAACAATATCGAGTTTATTGAATACAGTATTCAGAAGAACATCCATCTGATATACCTCCCTGGCCGTACAACCCATGTTCTTCAACCTTTGGACATTGGAATCTTTTACCCTATCTGATCCAGTTATAGGACGGAGTTGGAAGACTTTCTTGGTAATCATGGACTCAATTGAGCAATGCACAAAGGCGACTTTTATCCAATGTATCACAAGGCAAGAGTTAAGGCCATAAGTGAGACAAATATCCTATTAGCCTGGCGTGCAAGTAGTATGATCCTATTCAATTGCCAAAGAGTTTTAATCCAATCTGGTCTTCAATCGTCTATGCCTCAATCCAAGTCTCTAAAGGAACAGTGTTCTGGACTCCGCCCCCTACCAATACATATAGAGAGATTATCAGAACTTGATAAGATCTGAAAGAAGGCCAACAGACTTGAATTTGATAATGAAAGTTATACTGTTTTTGATAAAGCTTTGACCTTATATAGCAAGACAAATACCTAGTCTGTTCTTAATACAGCAACTATCACCAGAACTCAAGCTGTCAAGTCCAGTTCTACAGACTACTATCAAATTAAGGGTGGCCTTATTCTTCATACCTCAGTTCTTTCTAAACTATATAAGAAGCATAAGACTGATGATATGCAAAAAAGAGAATTGGCTACAAAGAAGAAGATCTTACAACAGCAACAAAAGTCCAAATCACAAGCAGTTACCTTCAGGAGAAAGTATAAGCCTCAGTCAAGGGCTGTTGAAAAATTGGGAATTACAGATGAGGAGAAGGATGAGATGAACTGCAATAAGTCTACTCAATTAGTAAGTGCACAATATCTTTTTGGTCATATTTTCAAATCAGTAGCTTACATTTTGTAGAAAGAGGATATAATTTCTTACAACATGGGTTCAAGCACCATCCGCCCTCAGCACTCCTCATGTAAAAAGGTTAACTATCAAGTCATTTGAACTTCTGATTCTGAGAAGAATAGTGATTGAATTATGAACTATCACTTTTGGGTCTCAATACTACAATTTGTATTATTTCAAAATTATTTTCTATGTACATCCTATAACAATCAAAAGCCTTTATTTTACAAAGTTTGAAACCAGGAGAGTCAATATTGAGTTGGTGGTAGCAATTTTTAATGTTTTTACATATAGGCTGAAACTGACCCATTACTAGGGGGTGACCTATAACTAGGTATAATACATTATTACAGGAGTATAATGAGAAGGTTTATATTGAACAGCATTGGAGGAGAAAAAAATTTTAGGCTGATAAGCTAGGTGGAACAAAAGGTATAGGTGGGATTGATATACTGGCATGGAGGTACCGTAAGAACTCGAATAATTGAACCTGGAGCTAGGACGTCGGTGTTGCCTCTACTGGTATGGTGCGGTGTTTTTTACTTTTCTTTTATCTCAAGCAGGGGCTCGGGGAGTCGGTTTTCGCAGTGCTCTCAGCCCCCTATCCAGGAGAGGGAATTCTGAACGTTCTAGCGCAAGGTTCAATTATTCGAGTTCTTACGGTATGTGAAGCATGTTGCGGAACCAAAACTCTGGCCTGCATGCAAGGAGTGGTTAGAAGGAAATTCAAATTTCAAACTGATGGAAGATGGAGTCCTGGCTCATATTTCCTGATACACAAACGGATTATGAGAAAAGCAAGGAATTCTAAAAGTTAATTGGCCACCGAAGTTACCAGACTTTAATTCTATCAAACATATTTGGGATTGGATGCATGAGAGAGTTGTATCACAGGAGCCTAAAAGCACAACTGAGCTACAAGTTACATTGTAAGAAGTTTGGGAGAATGAGTTGATGATTAACAGAATCAATAATGAGATAGGCAGGTTGCCACATGTAACAGCGTGTTGTTTGATTTCTGATGGTGATAATAATTATGAGGGTTAATGTATTATTAGATTATTATTTATTTATTTATTTACTATGAATTTGCCGTTCTGAGTTTATCATGAAGTGGAGAACCATGTTGACTTTCTTGTACCGTAGTTTGTACCGTAGTGTTGTGGGCGTTACGTTGAACTAAAGGTTTAGTGACTTTAGGGGCAATCCACACTTTTTTGGCTAGTAGTTGCCACTGTAAGCCTAATGCCAGCATTGTCCGGTTACTTTCTTGTCGCCGCTGTACTCGAGTACATACTCGCTTGTCCTTAGAGTTGCCCACCCCTACCTTCACCACTTACGAGTAGACTACCGGCATAATACTATAGACACCTTTCCTTCCTCAACTCAAGCCACCCCTTCATTCGATTCTATAATAACTACCTGCAACTATCAACGAGCAATAGCCGCTAAAGACCTAGTTACACCCCCCCACCCCTCCCCCTTTCGTGAAGCTTACCTTTCCCCAGGAGCCGATTCGATCGCACAAGTCACCATGGCCCCCGTTAATCCCTATCGTGATATCAACATCACAGTGTCAGCGTCGCACTACGCTTTCGCCTCGCCATCTTCTCCGAACGCGCCGGTTCTTGTGATTGATCGCCCCTCTGGCGACATGCGCCTCACCGAGTCGCCAGTTTTGGGGGGAACGCGGATGGGCAGCGTTGCCGGACTACTGGGAGTTATTCGACTTCGTCTTGGTGGGCCCTCCCTCACTTGATCGGCACTTCTGAACCTGAATCTATATGCAGAGCCGGATATTCAGCCGCTGCGGATTGTAGAGCTTTATCCAGGGTTTCCCAGCTGACGCCTACCACCCGTATCGCGTAGACAAGTACATCATTATTATAACAAAGGCTATGCTGGTCGGGCGCATCCGAGGGCACGCCGTGTTTAAGGTCCAAACTGCGGAATTTCTGCCCTTGCAGGAGAGACAGTTGCATGTACGTCTTTTGCACCTTCCTTTGTGTTCCTGAACCCGATTTTGGACCTGACGAGATCGAGTCAAGGTGGTACGGCCGTACTAAGATTGGGATGTTGACCGTTATTTTTAGGACCCGGACGAGGATACCTACTTGTCTCTCTTGCGCGCTCACTTGCGTACTGGGCCCATGTATTTTTCGTACACCTTTGATTTAACAAACTCGTTCCAGCGCCAATCCTCCGCTGATGCCTCACTTCCCCTTTGGCAGCAGGTATGTCACTGCTTATCATTACCGGAGCTTTTAGCGAATCCATGGGCTGGGGGAGGTGCTAATCCCCGACCCTCCTCGAGGGGCATCCAGGCGGATGAACGTTTTTTCTGGAACCGGTACATACAATCCGACATGATTGATCTCCGCGGTTCGAGCCCAGCTGTAAGGCACCCCAAAGATTCCCACCTCCGTCATGGCCTATTGCTCGTTCTAAACATAGCCTTGGGGGCCCATTTCGCGCGGATTGGGATTCCCTCATAGGAGCAGGCAGCATGTTGTGTTTACGGGGTGCTAACTTTACCAGATGGACCCATTCATCCTCCCCGTATTCTTTGGATTCCTTAGCATCACCACCACTGCGCTTAAGTCCACCCCATTGAGTTTCATACTGATCACTCGAAAGTCACGACATAGAGCCGGGACTAGGTACTTTACCCGGGGAGTGGACGAGTCTGGAAATGTTGCAAATTTCAATGAAACTGAGCAGATCGTCATCATTGGCGACTCTACTAGAGGTCTTGGAGGATATGACCAAAACTCAATAGCATCGGGAGGCAAGGCTTCAATCCAACAAATCAAGGTTTTCAGCTATGTTCAAACCAGGGGAAGTGTCCCAGTGTACTGGGCAGAAGTAAATAATTTGCATTATACCCCGCAGCTCCAGGTCAGGGGTGCTGATTCTGCCATGAACCCTGCAAGAAAGCATTTCGATGACCAGGTTAGGTTATATGGAGATAACTATCTGGTTAACCTGGTAAACCAGAAAGGTCGAGAATACAGAGTTAAAGCGGCCTACGAAAACATTGTCAAGCTGCTCGTATCTTCGCCTGTAGAAAGCAAAGAGGGTTCTGAGGAAATACCCGAAAGGTCTCGAAGAATCGAGCCTACGAAAGGGGCTAACACGCTTGACCAGCTACATTATGTCTACTTTGACTTCCACCATGAATGCAGAGGAATGAGATGGCACAGGGCACAGCTACTGCTTGAGCAACTGGGCGATGGCCTATATGATCAACAATATTTTCATTCTGTTGAAGGGAAGAGTGTGTCGAGTGATATCCGGAGTTATCAGAAGAGTGTTGTAAGGACGAACTGCATGGACTGCCTGGATAGGACAAACGTCGTGCAGGGCATGCTAGCCCTGTGGGCCCTAAATCGCCAGATGATCGATGCAGGTGTTCTTGAGAAGGGAGAAAATGCCGCATCCTTCAATAGCTTTGAAGTCATATTCAGGAATGGTGGGTCGGAATTCGTCATACAGGGCTTATTGGAAAGTATGAGCTTCAACTGACAGGATATTTTGCTTCTTTCTTTAGCATGGGCTGACAATGCGGATGTTGTGAGCCGGGCGTATTCCGGCACTGGGGCGCTGAAGACTGATTTCACAAGAACCGGGGTACGAACAAAGGCTGGAGCTATTGCGGATCTATCGAATTCTATCACCCGATATTTCCGTAACAATTTTAGTGATGGACCACGACAGGATGCGTACGATCTCTTTTTGGGAATCTACTTTCCTCCGGCAACCGCCATGTCCTCGCTATTGTTTATTGATCGCCGCCCGATAGTGATTCAGAGCATTCCATATGTTCTTTGTGGGGCCATATTCCTAGAACTCGCGGCCTTTGTGTTGCCGCGCACTACTGATGGGGGCCTGTTGAGCATGAGGATATTTGTTCTCTTCTGGTTTGTTGTTGCCTTATGGGCAGCCAATTTCGTCATGAAGCATGGGAAGCTTTATGTGAGCTGGCCAAGATTGAACACTCTAGGTTTTTCAGTGCAGGGGTATAATGAGGATTTGAGCAGAGCAAAGAAGGATCTAATTATTGGGAAGTGGGTCGGTAGAGGCGGTAATGCTCGCGAGCGTGGCTTGAGCACAGGAGGAAGTGGTAGATTGATTCACTTGGAGGAAGGGAAGAAGCGGATCGAGTAGAAGTGACAAGGTGAGAAAATGAGGGGGGGGGGGATGGGGCTTGGTGGAAGCATTCCCTTTGCGGTGGCTGAAGTAGGATATGAGAGAGAGGAAGGAAGCTGGGAGGGCGATGCCTGTGTCACCTTGTGTCACCCGTGTGACACATTGGGAGCGATTATGTTACATGACAGTGTTCTCCTTTCGTCCTCACACGTGGTACGGAGGGCAGAGGACCAGTAATAAGAGGGTTGTCGGCAGAGCTGCTGCCTAGCTACAGATGAAATTCTGTGTCCGCCTTTCGTCATGATTTTCCCCTTATTTTCCATCTTTTTTTATTTTTTATTTTTATTATTCCTTCATGTTTCTACCACTTCTTTCCCCCTTCCCACTCCTCTCATAACGCTAAGTTATCTATCATACTTATCATAGATAGAGCCAATTTGGGGTTTTTCTTTCCTGGCCCCTCGCCCTATCTAATAGATTCCGTTTATTCATTTCGTAAATTTCCTATTCTTATGTCAGACTTTATTTCTTTATTCCTTCCCTGTTCCCCAGCTCTTCGCCATCGTCATAATTTAGTTCCTCTGAATCTCTTCGAATCTACCTATCTAAATATCTGTCCGTTTGTTCACCTGTTGTCCTGCATTGCATCTCACCATCATCCGGGGTTTCCACGCTTTGTATTCGGCGTTAGCTAGTTTGACAGTTTAATACAAGTATCATATACCTGCACAATAATATATACCTTTTTATCTACTTATTCCCCTCCATCTCCCCGCGAAATACAGCTCGGGCTAAACCAACCAAGCCGGGCTTACTCCCTCCCCCATCCATCTCCCGAAACCAAACATACTCGTACCTACCAGCCTATCGGATCCTCCACCCCGGCAGTCCCATACATCACAGACAAGACGTTTCCGCCCAAGAGTGCACGTCCGATGGGCCCCATCAGCCGCCTCAAGATACCTCTAACAGCACCTTTCATACCCCCTCCCCACCTCATTCCAACCAAGTTACCGAGGCCTTCCACTCAGATACAATCTCGATCCTCGGCAATTTAAGAATTCCCTTACGTGCCACTACCATTACAATACCTAGGTAGCCTAGTATCCAGTGATACGGTATTAACACTAAACTATAATAAAAAGGGGGAGGGAAGACGCGTGCTACGAGTGATATTCCGTGATAGGCTGGTTTGCTGCCACCGGGCCGTCCGGACCTTCCGCCTAGGCAGTCAGTCAGAGACGGACTTGGCCGATAAGTAAGTACGCAAGTCATTCGGGCACCCTCCCTCCTATCATGTCTCCCCTGTTTCCCCAGTAACTCATTTTTGTTTTGGGGCTCGGTCGGAGGTGAGTCTAGATTGTGCTCTTCGTCGGTGGGTGCGTAGTTGCTTGCGGGAAAAACAAGGAAAAGTGCGCGCAAGTGCTTTTATTTTTTTTTCCATATTTATATATATATATACATATTTTATTTATTTGCTTCTCCGCCCGGAGGTTGGGCGGAAGGGGGGGGGGGGGTTCCTGGATCCCGAGAAAGGTGAAGGGAGGTGCTGAGTGCTTGCTCGTGCCGGTGCCGTGGGAGCGCGGCGGCGGGATGAAATGGAGCGAAGGAGAGGGCGAAAGGGGGGACGAGAAGAGTGAGGGAAAGAGAGGCGCCTTTTCTTTGCCTTTCTTTTCTTTTCTTTTCTTCCCTTTTCTAGAGCTAGCTTCCCGGAGGGTTTGTCTATTTGCTTCAGGTTATTCCGGGAGGGAAGGGCTTTTATTATTTAAAAGTACATATCTTTTCGTAGAGATGGATCGGTGGGGTGATGTGATAGATCTGCTCATGCAACTCGGGGAAACTAATAAAGATAGAAATACGGGGGAAACAAAAAAAGGACGGAATCTAGATCTCATCTTGGCCGTACCCGTCTACAAAGTAGTGAAAACAGAAACAAACCAGGTTTTGAAAAGGTAAGGAAAGAGAAATCAGTCGGGTGTAGGGGTGTGGTGGAAACCCGTGAAGCCCAGTAAAACGAAAACTCCCGTTTGAACCAAGTATTTAAAAATAATAAAAATAAAATGCGTGTCAAACAAAAAAAGGTGTAGCAACAACTTCTCAGTGATTAAGGAGATAGCCCGCTGAGGGGTCATTGGTATCGCTCAGAAATCAGAATATGAAGAAGGCGAAAAGAAAATGGAAAAAGAAAAATCTAAATTCTCAAATTGTAACCCCCCGGACCCCGGCCCATTTAGTAGCAGTCTTTGATCGATCTGTTCTTCGGATATCTGTAAACTGGTAGCGTTACAGCTTGTTCAAATAATCGCTCCTTGAAGTGCTTTGCCTTCTAGCGATCGCTCCGCTGCTCAATCATACCAAGGACGGCATCCATTCCCTCCTAAAGCACAGCATGGCCGATATTAGCCCCATGCACAATGCTCAACACCCGCAAATCCCTTGAGAACAGCTTACCTTGACGATCAATCTATAGAGCCAAATTCCTTCCCCCTCCGAAACTCCACCCCCATGCCTTCGTCTGCTTGTCGAATAGAAGGGGGGTCGTAGATTCTGTGCAAGGGCATCATAAACAGCGACCATCGCAGCTTGAACATCCCGCGGTAGATTCAAGACGTATGCGTCTTGGACATGCACATCTAGCAGACCGGAATCGTCACTAAGGTTGAGCCAGCGCCCATCAACATCATGGGAGAATCGTGCTTGGGGAGACCACAATTCGAGGACTATTCTCATGGCGTAGAAACGCCTCTCTGCGCTCGTTCGGAACGAATTGAACGAAACGATCGTCATAACATATTCCGCAACTCTTGCCGCTATGTAAGCCCTCCTCTCCAAGCTTCCAAGATATGCCTCCACTCGACCGAACATATCGGGATCACAGAGGATATCATGAAGATCTTGCGGTCGAGTGACATAACCTCCAGAACCGTACAGACTTCCTCCCCTTCTCCTAAAGAAGGTCGGGGGCGACCATATGCGCATGAGAATCTCGACATGGCTGATGTTAGCCAGACGGGTACGCAATGCATGGGTTCTGAAGTCTCGAGTAGCAAGGGAAAGGGAGTGGCTTGCGCCGGAGATAGGTTCCAGGTTGTCCAGATAGGACAAGATATTGAGCAATAGCTCTGCTGGGATATTGTCGATCATATTGAATATCGTATGTCCTTCTAACAAAGTTCGAATTCTCCGAGGCTTCTGAAGAGATATATATATATATATATATATATATATATATAT